GGGGGGGGGGGGGGGGGGGGCACTTCCCTCCTTGCACAAGAGCCAGCCATTGTATCACCATTAAAAGGATTTTTTTTGCACCCCAACTGAGAATCACTGATAACAGTGTAGTAATCTGTAGGTTATCTATGACCCAGTATATAAGTACGTAACTGAAAATGTACTCACACAAACACAAAATATTCGCAATAAAAGGGATTACTACCAAGTGGGATTCATTTAGCCAGCAATAACAAACTACAGTTATATTTGATACAGAAGGATCAGCCAATAACCTTTTAACTTGAGTCACTCACACAGTCAGAACTTTCACACATTTGTGCACAAATTTAGGGAAAAAGCTTTAACACCAAAAGCAGATTTGTGTATGTGTGTGTATGTGGGGGGGAAATCACTAAAATCAAAATCAACATAGAATACTTACAATGGTCTACAACATTAAACACTTCCTACATGCTCAGACTGAGAAACTGAATTTGACATATGGAATAATGAACAGAGTAGGATCCCCAACTATAATGTACTTTAAAAGGAAAAGGAGAACCCGCATTAGCATAGCTGTTCCAAATTCACAATGTACTCACTGCATACAAATTTTGCATCACCTAGACACCCACAATCTTCCTATACTTCATACTAACTTTGATATTCCAGAGTGTTTTGTGGCACCATCATGTTGCTGAGAGAGTTTTTTTTACCCTCTAGGTGATGGAATGATATCTGGGATGACAGTTTGAAAAGACATGGCCAAAAAATGTTTACCTTTAAACTTATTCACAGGGTCCTGTTATTTTGCAACAAAGCCCAAATAGCTCTCCTTACATTCCAAGTTCTAGATATTTGATTAGATAGTTTGATCCTAATATGTAAAATGCTATATAATTAGCCAAGACAACATTACAAGAAATGCCTTTTCTGGTATAAAAATAGTTCAAAACACTAAAATAATTGAAGTTTCTCTTCCTCAATTGAGGAAAAGCTCAAATAATCAACACGCTATTTTAAAAAAAATAAAAAATGGCAAGTATGAAGCTCCCAAGAGGGTTTCAAGGACTGTACTTTGGCAAGTAACTCCAATTCTCTCTTTTCCAAGAAAATTAAAGAAAGCAATGTTGACATGAGCATTGCTACTGGATAGTTCATCTCATCCACTTAAAATTCCGCAGTAGTCTCTTGTTGGTGGGACTAGTCTTCCAACTCCCAGGTGGCTGGTAATAATTCCCAAGACCTTCATATAAAGGGGCTGTATTTCCCAGCCCTAACCTCTCACATAATAAATAATTAGTACCATTTGCTGTAATTCTTACAGAGTCCTAAGTCAAGTACTCTCTGCTGGACTAAGGTAGGTGCAATTTTGAATCTGTGTTGAAGGGTTTCTCCAAATAAGAGGCCACTCAGAATTCATTGCACTTCTCTGCCCTTGAGAACAACTCAAACTGCACCAGGTGAAGATGGTAAACTGCCCAACAGAGATCCTCACCATGGATTTTACTGAATATTAGGGAAAAGATGTGAGCATACCTGGGTAATTTATTTATAGAACACACTATAGACAGTAGTATGTTTGTGCCTGAGAATACATCTCAAATGTATTGGATAAAAGGTCTGAACTAAGATTCAGGTAGTTTCTTTTCTTTCATTCATTCATTCTTAGTTTTTATAAATATTGTGCTACAGATCTGATTAATCCTGGGGTGGAGTTAGTTTTCTGGACAATACATAATGACCTTTCTGCAAAAGTAAAGCAAAAGCCTTGGCAAACAGTTATAAAGAAGAAGAAAAAAGAAGGGCTCACCACTGGACTTGCCCGAGCAGAACTGGCTCTTGAAGATGTCCGAGATCCGGAACCAAGGTAGCAGCTGTATTCAGAAGGCTGACCACAAATACCCCAAGAGCAAAGATAGGAAAACAGAGTTAGAGCAGCAGAAGAATCAGAGCAGCACCAGTTCAGCATAGTTAGAAAAAGGGTTACATGATGCTGGACAAAGAAAAGCGGGGTTAAATTTAGAGAGGAGCTACTTAACATTAAACATCACAAAAGCAATAGGTATAGCAGATGGACCAAGAAAAAAAGCTCTTGATTGAGGACATTTTATTTATAAAGTTATTAAATAAAAAGGCCCCTCTTTTTCAATATGTATAGGTTGATTTCATCCCATCTGCTCAACATGAAATATTACCTTCCATCTCTGTTCAGTTCCCCACCCTCTTAAGCAACACCAGACAGTTATAAAACTGATACTTGTTCTATAGGCCAAAGCAAAAAACCACAGGTAAGTTTCTTCTGAACTAATGTTGCAAAAAGGTCATTTTGATAGTTAACATAGGAACTGAATTGTGTTTACTTTGTCCTTCACCAACCAGTAAAATTTATGACCTGCAACAGTTCATATGCTGCTGAGAGAACAAATAAGATTTAGTACCTTGTAGGTGAGCAAGTTACTAACGGTTTGTCTGAAACATGTCACTAGGGCAGGGCAAAGGAAGAAGAAATTTCTAACATGTTTTCCCTATGTTTTGTCCCGCCTTCACTACAGCCATAAGCTTAGAAACTGTGTCCGCAAGGCACTGCCTTTGGCAACCAACAACAGCCACAAAGGAATATAAAAGAAATACCAAGCCATGCTTCTTTAAGTATGCAGCATAAAATGACAAAAATCTCACTTGTGCACATTAACTACTGAACTTTGTTTGACAAGTCATAGTGACAAAAAGCTTTGGAACAAGCTTGGGTATTCTTTATTCATTTTTTACTGTAATCATTCTCAAAGATGCTTCAAGCACTACAGAAAACAAATTGTAGTGAATACCTTGATATCACTCCTTAAGAACCCCTGCCATCTGTGTACTGCTCTATCATTTGTATTAAAAAATTTACAATTGGTATAACAAAAACATAAGGTATTTAACTTGTACTATGAAAAAGTAAAATTATTTATGCCAGTCTAATACAAAACTTCCACTGTAGACCATTTCTCACTTTTGCAGTTTCTCTTCTTGCTTTAACTTTTATAACTGATGCATTTGATTGTTTAATTTTAAAAGATCAACAGCATATGGGAAACATTTGAGAGCTGTCACAAAGCACAGGAAAAGGTGGATTACTAAGTTAAATTCTCTCTGCTCAGTGAATTTGGAACAAGGGGAGTCTAGTTCAGTCCATTTGCTCGTTGCTTGGACTAGTGGCATTCCACCACCCTTCAGAAAATCCTCCTTAGTAGCTATTGTCCAAATTGTACATTTTCCAGATGTCAGAAGAACTGCAGACTTCAGAACAATTAACATAACTGTGATCAATGCAATAGCTACGTGGACGTATCCCTAGAGGACCTCATATTTCTACTCTCTATTACAAAATACCATGTTACACTGAAAATGAACCATTATAAACCAACTTACAAAACCTGTGGCACAGTAGAGCCAGGGAAAAGAACAAATAACCTATTCGTACAACATTTTTTGTTCAAATCACTATCCTTTGTCATTAAAAAAAACCCCAACCCTCTCACGTCCGCAACCTACAGTTTAGCCCAAATTAGAACGGCTGCTTCTGGACTACTGAGGCACTCATTTTAGACAATCTATATACATACAAGACCATTCTAATATAATAAAACGCTTTGTCTGTCTGTCTGTGCATCTGTTTGTCACACTTCTGGCCAACTGTTCATGTGCTGCTGAGAGGGCAGACAGCAACTGGCTGCGTGGCTGGGCTGAGCGGGCCCAATTTTGCACCAGGAAGTTTGGCAGCAGGTAACATGCCCCAGCTCCCCGAGCAGGGATTCCCCCCGCCTCCCTCTAACAGCAGAGCTACCTCCTGCCTCCCTGCCCGACAGTAAAGGGGAGATCACTGTGGTAGTGCCCACCCCTGCCTAGACACCCCCCAGAATAGCCAGCAGGGAGGGGGAGGTGGCGAGCAGGGAGGCAGGTGGAAGTGGGCCAGGCAGACCCAGAGTGGTCTGGGGCAGGGGAGTGGGGTAGGACCCAGTGCAGACTGGGGGAGAGATGGGGTTAGACCTGATGCACCTGGGGGGG